TTTATATTCCAAGGTAATTTAATGTGTCACACATACATAAGTTGATTTAAAAAAAAAAAAAAACATTCCATGTAAATATTTTTACCAGCTTTGAACCAGGAAATTCTGACTGTTCAATTAGCCCAACTTTATTGTTACAGCAATAACTAAAGGTTGTTTTTATTGATTTAAAAAAAACTCAATAATTTATCACATTTTTTAGTTTTCCTTCTAATAGTTTCACATCTTTCTCACCAATATTTTTGTTTCACTACTTGCTCTCCATCCCATAGACATATACTTAAGTTCTTTAAAATGTTCCATCTTCTGTTAAATGGAATAATTTCAGTATCCTCATTAATGAGTTGATGTGAGCATGACTGATGTGCACATAGTATATGTTCAATAAATTGTGTCTACTAATATTACTGCTCATCAGTATTTGTTCTTAATATTTACTTCTGAAAATTCTCAATATTCTTTCATATTTTAACTTTTAAATAGACTGGTTTTGTTAGTTCTCTACTGCTGTTATAATAAGTTACCACAAATTTAGTGATTTAAAACAACATAAATGTACTATGTTCTGGAGGCCAGAATTAGTTTTATTGAACTAATATTAATGTGTTTCTGAAAGTCCTAAGGGGAACCTATGTCCTTACCTTGTCCAGCTTCAGAGACATTTGTATTTTGTTTTTAGTAAATCAAAGTTTGTACTTCTTATTTCCCTTCACCTTTTTTACCCACCCCAGTACACTCTCTCCTTTGGCAGCTATCAATTTATTCTGTATTTCTATGAGTCTGTTTTTTATTTTGTTTTGTATGTTTTTTTAGGTTCCACATATAAGTAAAATCGTATGGCATTTGCCTTTCTCTGTGTTATTTAACTTAGCATAATATCTTTTAGGTCCATCCATGTTGTTGCAAATGGCAAGATTTCACTTTTTTTTTTTTTTTTTTTTTTTACAGCTGAGTAATATTGCATTGTATGCATATACCGCATCTTCTTTATCCATTTATCTATCAATTGTCCATATGTTAGCTATCCTATATAATAAAGATATAATATGCAAATGATCATTATGCCTTGATGAATAATGACCAACTGTGTAACGACTGGATCACGGATCAGCAGGAGGGTGGGGCAGTGAGCTACAAGCGGGCAGTGGAGAACTATAGGAAGGGGCAGAGCAGCAAGCTATAGTGGGGGGGAGCTCCAGGAGAACGGGGCAGCGGGCAGAGAGCTACTGGAAAGTGGCATCAAACTACTGGCACATGTATTCTGCACAAGGCTACTAGTTGTAAATATTGCTACAATGAAATAGAGGTGCATATATCTTTTCAAATTACTGTTTTCATTTTCTTCAGATAAATGCCCAGAAGTGAAATTGCTGTGTTATATGGTAGTTCTGTTTTTAATTTTTTGAGAAATCTCCATACTACTTTCCTTAGTGGCTATACCAATTTACAATCCCAGCAAAAAACTACAGTATGCTTCATTTAAACCACTCTGTCGTCTCACTTGGAGTGGATGACATCTAACAGCAAGCCACATGTGCAACAGACACAAACAAGGCCACAGGCATTGAGAACAGTTCCAAGGGAGAGATGAGAGACATGGACTGGGAGGTCTGGAAAAGCCTGTTGAAACGAAGCCTCATTTTGCATCCTCCCCAACTAAGGGGTAAAGAGCCAAAGCAGCAGTCCCTCTCCTGCAGAGCAGGCAGGAATCCAGACCAGCAGGTATCATCTTTCCTGGCGTCACACGAGTATTACCTTGGCCACATTAGCCATAACCTTGCAAAAGGTAGTGAATCTAGAGCTAATTTCTCATTAAGCTGACAAGAGGCATGAAGAGACACACATGTTTCCAGGAATGTACACTTTTACAGTATTTTTGTTTTCTTTTGCAAATCAATTGGAAGCTAGGAGGCATTCCAGCATCTCTTTCTGCAGAGTTCCCAATTTGTTTCATTATCCCCTGCCCAGCACCTCCACCAGACTGAGACGCAATTGCAAAAGATGTAGAATGGAAAATTAATATTTTCTACAGGCTTCCTCATCTTGGGTAGATTTATGAATTCTGCTTCTGTTATGCAGAAGTTAGCATTTTTAACAACGGGTGTGGGGGGGGGGGATATCTTTAATTGATTTTTCACTGCCTCAAGAGCGCCAAAGACAGCTTGTGCTATGTCATCATTTACATTTCACATTAAATGCAGAATGTTTGAAACAAGCAAATATTTGTTTTAATTTGATACATCTGTTAACTGAAACGCAAAAAAGACAGCTCCCTCACTATATTAAATTCAGCAATTTGTAAACAATTTATATGTTCATTTGTTCTGGTTATAAATGCCCCAAAGCTTATGTTTTATGAACCCACAGAGTAAATGGCATTGTATTAATCTGATGTATGCAAGCCATGATTTATTCCTCTTCACTCCATTAATTTATTCCTAACTTGAGTTAATTAGCGAGGTTCCTATTTTTAAAAGCTCTTTAAATTCCCTGAGAGAGGAGCACATTTGCAAGAACTTCTTTGAAAATCTACTGCAGAGGAAATGGGCTAAATACAAATGGTAAATTTTCCCCAGACATTATCACACATTGAGCACCTGATTGCCATTCAACCACCTTCATGTGGAGAATACAGTGGGCAATGCATACATAGTTGTTATAAAAAAGAGGGAGAGAATCAGAAGGAAGGAACAAGAGCAGCAGCAAGAACAAACTCTTTCCAGGAGATTTCTATCTGCATGAGATATCTTCAAGGGCCTATTCCCTTTAAATAAAAAACATTCTGATTTTAGGCTACAAAATGGAGACTGATTTTAACTTGAAACAAGGGATATCCATTCAGAGAAATATAAAAAATCACAGTGTTTGGTCCAATAGAGAATAAAGATAAATTAATTATTTTCCTTAGTCAAATGCAGCTTTAATATTCTTAATTAGAACAGTAGATAGTGCCCTGAACTAAAATAAATCAATAAATAAATGAAGGGAGGGAGGGAGGTAGAGAGGAAGGAAGGAAGAAAGGAAGGAAGGAAGGAAGGAAGGAAGGAAGGAAGGAAGGAAGGAAGGAAGGAAGGAAGGAAGGGAGGGAGGGAGGGAGGGAGGGAGGGAGGGAAGGAAGGAAGGAAGGAAGGAAGGAAGGGAAGAAGGGGAAATTCATTCACATTCAAGTATAAATTACTGAGAAAAGTTTAAGATATGCCTAAAGGCATATCTTAGTGGTTGGCAAACTGCGCAGCTCGCAAGCCACATTACGGGCTCTTTGGCCCCTTGAGTGTGGCTTTTCCACAAAATAGTACGTGCAGGCACACACGTAGAGTGCAATTGAAACTTCATAGTGTGTGTGCAGAAGTAGGTTTTCGGCTCTCAAAAGAAATTTAAATCATCTTATTGTTGATATTTGGCTCTGCTGACTAATGAGTTTGCCCACCACTGCCTCAGGTTGTTTGGGGGAAGGGAGAACTAGTCTTTCAACAGATGTTCAAGCTTTAAGCAAATGTAATGTTAATTCCACCCTAGAATATTTGGGTAGCAGCGGGCGGGTGGAAGAGACTGAGTTGGGTCGGGTGCCCTTCCTTCGCCAAGTCACCCACTTGCTTCCAGAAAGGCTGGTCCTGGGAGGCAGCAGCACCACCAGCCCAATCTAGGCAGCACCTTCCCTGTCAAATCCCTGCTCTATTTCATTTTCCTGCAGCCAATCACTTCCCAGCCCTGAGAAGCACGTTGAAAACTTGGAGCTGCGTTTACGTGCATTTGAGTTAGGTCTTCTCTAAGCCTCAAATCCTACGAAATGGAAAAGCATCAGCCACACAACACAGCCCCTGATGCAGAGGAGGCATCCCCACACTGCAGACTCCCTCCTTTCTTTCCACAGGCACCAAGTAAGCCAGCTGTGGGGCACACCAGAAGCCAGAGGCAGCAGGGGACAAGACCAGGTGCGTTCCATTCTCCTCAATTGCCTTCAAATTTTCTTTCATGTCTAAGGCCTGATCCTGGAACCTGTTGCCCAAGTTCCCCTCACCAAAACAAACCGAGATTTATGCCTCCTCCTGGCGCCACACTGAACAGGGGAGAGGGGACAGAGAGAAGCACGTGTTCCATCAGTTCCCCTTTGACTCACACTCACACACCTACATGTTTTCTTGTTTCTGCTTTAAAAAAAAAAATGTTTTTTTCAAACCTTTGCTAGCACAAATTTTTTTTTGTCTCCACGAAAGCTGGGCTCCCTGGCCCCTCTTTTGAAGGCCTGGGGGTCTGCAGATGGGGGTCCTTCTTTCCTGACCCAAGGGCCTAACTTTAAATATCTGCATCACAACAAAAGTCTGGAAAATAAAGAGTTGCTCTCTATGGAAATCAGGTGTTTGGGCTGATCCATCAAGTCCCGGGATGCTGTGAAGCAGATTTCCTGGATCAGACAGGCACAGGCGGGTGGCTGCCTTGCTTCTCTGCTAGGGGGAGAACAGACCCACCGCGGCGGCACCACAAGCCCACCCTGGGGAGTGCTGGGCTCAGAGCCGGGCTTCTGAAGACCCCACAGGAGATCACCCCGGGAGTGACAGCAGCCTGCAGTGTTTCCCTGGCAGCCCTGCTTCTCCACAGGAGAAAAGGGCAAACAAATCTAACCACTGAGGAGGGGTCTCCAGAGAAAAGAGGGGCAAGATCAGAATGCTCTGTTACCTCTGCAAACTCGGTCCCTTTCAGAGGCCTTGCACCTGTCCTGCATCACCTCATTCGACGCCCACATTTGTCTGTATTATCATCCCCCTTTTCCCCAAGATACACTGCAACTGGCTGGAGGACCCAGAGGCGCTGCTCCGGGCTATCCCTCATCCTCTGACTCCTGATCTAGTGCTCTTAATTCCCACAACACAGAGAAGAAATATCCAGAGACTCAGAGCAATGCCTCTTTGGCCTCCAGAACTTAAGTTTACACTTTTAAGAACAGATTTGCAGTTAAGAAGAACCCAAGGAGGGAGGAGGGTGGGACTGCCCCCAGGACTCACTCAGGAAGAGGATGGTCTGCCTGCGGGCCGCCCTGCTCTCCTGGCTCTCCGACTTGCGCAGCTGCTCCTGCTGCCCCCTGGCGGCCAGTGTGCCCTGCTTGCTCCCCCGCAGCACCTGCATCATGTTCCAGCACATGAAGGCCACGGCCACCAGCACCACGAGGTAGACCACGAAGGCGCCGAAGATGCTGGACTGGAACACGGGCCAGCGGCCGGCGAGGTTGGTGCAGATGGACATGTTGGAGGCCTGGGGCCGCTCGTGGTGGCGGGTGAGGGTGCGGTTGCAGGCGAGGCCGCTGCGGGGGTGGCTGTGCCCGGGCGCCAGCGGGTACTCCACGCCCATGGCGAAGAGCAGGGGCAGGGCCACCAGGGCCGAGGTGACCCAGACGAAGGCGATCAGCAGCTTCACCTGGCAGGGCCCGGACACGGCCTTGTAGCGGAAGGGGTGGCAGATGGCCACGTAGCGCTCGAAGCTGAGCGTGAGCACGTGCAGCAGCGTGGCGTAGCTGCAGGCCTCGAAGAGGAAGTTGTGCAGCTTGCAGGACAGCGCGTAGCCCGGCGTGGTGAGCGGGTTCCAGATGATGCTGTAGAACTCCATGGGCATGCCCACGAGGAAGACCAGGATGTCGGAGCAGGCCAGGCTCACCATGTGGTCCGTGACCGCCTTCTGCAGGTAGCCCTTCCGCTGCAGCAGCTGCGTGGCGCGGATGGTGACGCTGTTGCCCAGGAGGCCCAGCGCGCAGATGAGCAGGTTCACCAGGATGAGGGTGATTTTGATCCAGAGGGCCACCTCGAACTCGGGGACGTGGCTGTGATCGATGATGTGGGAGCAGTCGTCGCCGGGAGGGCCGCCGGGGGGAGCCATCGGGAAGGGATGGGAGACCGTGTCCAGCTCCCTGCTCTCCGCGGAGCCGGGTCCCTGGCCGCGCCGGCGCCCGCTGACCTGGGAAGGTAACTTAGTTCAGGTGCTCTCAGGGAACTTCCTGGAGCGGCTCCGGGCGCCTGGGGGAGGAGTTTGGGGAGGAAGGCGGTGCTGATCTGGGCCCGCAGCCCCCAGCGCGCCCGCCCGCCCTCCTGCTGGGGCCCCGGCGCCGGCCAGCAGCCCCCGAGCCCCTCCGCCGCCGGCACCGGCCGCCCAGCGCGCCCTCCTCCGGGAGCTCCCTCCGGGCCGCGGAGGACGGGGGTCAGCGGTCAATCATTAACCACGGCCGGCTGCTCCGCGCCCCGGCTTGACTCAGCTCCCAGGCACGGTCCCCGGCATCAGATCTGGCTCCGGGCTCCACCTCCCCCCGCCCACGCGGCCGCCCGGAGACAGCGCCGGCCGCCCCGACGGCACCCCGAGGCGCGCCCCCGAGCGTAGGGATGGGGGTGAGGGTTAGAGTGGGGGTGAGGTTAAGGGTGAGGGTGGGGGTGAGGGTAGGGATGGGGGTCAGGAGGCGCCCCCGGGGAAGGTGGAGGGAGTGCGCTCCGGGACTGGAGTCTGGGACTTCGGCCAGAAAGAAACTTCCCTCTCCCGCCCTGCCCCGCTGCCTGAAGCGCTCCGGGGCTCCTTCCCAGGCGGGGCCCGCCTGCTGGGGAGCCCGGACCTGGCTATGGCCTCGGTCACAGGCCAGTTGGCGGGGCTGCGGGCGCTCGCTCCTCGGGGCCCCGCCTCTGCCTGCGGCCCTGGGGTTACCGCCGGGAATGGGGGAGCTGTGCGCTGCCTGGAGCCTCTGAAGGTGTGGGCCCCAAGCGCGTGGAGGTGGATGGAGGGGCGCCACCTGACCTTCCTGGGGAGGGGCTGGCGGAGCGAAGTGCCTTTCAGTGCTGCTCAGAGGAAGACTCTAATTGGGGGCGAGTATGAGCAGGGGGTGGGGGTGGGGGTGAGGGTAAGGGTGGAGGTGATGGTGAGGGTGAGGGTGAGGGTGAGGGTGAGGGTGAGGGAGGGGATGAGGGTGGGGTGAGGGTAAGGATGAGGGTGGGGTCGGGTGGGGATGAGGGAGGGGGTGAGGGTAAGGGTGGGGGTGAGGGTGGGGTGAGGGTGAGTAAAGGGTGAGGATAGGGATGGGGGTGAGGGTGGGGGTGGGAGTGAGGGTGGGGGTAAGGGGAGGTATGGGGGTGAGGGTGAGGGTTAGGGTGGGGGTGAGGGTGAGGGTGAGGGAGGGGATGAGGGTGGGGTGAGGGTAAGGATGAGGGTGGGGGTGAGGGTGGGGTCGGGGTGGGGATGAGGGTGGGGGTGAGGGTGAGGGTGGGGTGAGGGTGAGGGTGAGTAAAGGGTGAGGATAGGGATGGGGGTGAGGGTGGGGGTGGGAGTGAGGGTGGGGTGAGGGTAGGTATGGGGGTGAGGGTGAGGGTGGAGGTGAGGGTGAGGGTGAGGGTTAGGGTGGGGGTGAGGGTGAAGGTGAGAGTGGGGGTGAGGGTGAGTATGAGGGTGGGGGTGAGGGTGAGGGAGGGAGTAAGGGTGAGTAAGGGTGAATTTGAGGGTGAGGGTGGGGTGAGAGTGAGGGTTAGAGTGGGGGTGAGGTTAAGGGTGAGGGTGGGGATGAGGGTAGGGATGGGGGTGAGGGTGGGGGTGGGGTGAGGGTGAGGGTGAGTATGAGGGTGGGGTTGAGTGTGAGGGTGGGAGTGGGGTGAGGGTTAGGGTGGGGGGTGGGGGTGGGGGTGAGGGTGATTTTGAGGGTGAGGGTAGGGAAGAGAGTGAGGGTTAGAGTGGGGGTGAGGTTAAGGGTGAGGGTGGGGATGAGGGTACGGATGGGGGTGAGGGTGAGGGTGGGGTGAGGGTGAGTATGAGGGTGGGGTTGAGGGTGAGGGTGAGGGTGGGAGTGGGGTGAGGGTTACGGTGAGGGTGAGTTTGAAGGTGAGGGTGGGGGTGAGGGTTGGGGTGGGAGTGAGGATTAGGGTGGGGGTGAGGGTGAGTAGGATGGGGGTGAGTGTAGGGGAGGGGGAGGATGGGGGTGAGGGTGGGATGAGGGTTAGGGTGGGGGTGAGGGTAAGGTTGAGGGTGAGGGAGGAGGTAAGGGTGGGCGTGAGGGGGGTTGGGGGTGAGGGTGGGGTGAAGGTGAGAGTGGGGGTGGGAGTGAGGGTTAGGGTGGGGTGAGTTTGAGGGTGAGGGTAGGGATGGGAGTGAGGGTGGGTGTGAGGGTAAGGGTAAGGGTGGGGGTGAGGGTGGGGTGAGGGTGAGTATGAGGGTGGGGTTGAGTGTGGGAGTGGGGTGAGAGTGAGTTTGAAGGTGAGGGTGGGGTGAGGGTTGGGGTGGGAGTGAGGATTAGGGTGGGGCGAGGGTGAGTATGATGGTGGGGGTGGGGGTGAGGGTGAGTTTGAGGGGGAGAGGAAGGGTAGGGTTAGGAATGAGGGTAGGGGTGAGGGTGCCACACCAGCAGGGCAGGGTTGCTACTGGTGGAAATCCGCCCTAGTCCTCAGGAGGGGGCTACAGCCAGGACATAGAGGACAGCAGGAGGCAGCTGTGGGCAGTGGGGACAGGGCCACCGAGTGAAAATGGCCTTAAGGATCATGACATTTTACATCTCTTCCGAGAGAGAGGCCTCAAATGGATGCATTTTCATCTTTTAATTCCAAATTCAGAAGCGGGGGGGGGGGGGGGGGGGAAATCCTACGCATTGTAGAATGTTTAACACATACATGTCCCCAACTCCTCACCCACCCCATCCCCACCCCAGTTATAGCCAAAGGCCTCTGATAGAGCAAAGCAGCCCCAGATGGAGAACCACTGCCTTGAGGAAGAAAATAGACCCCCTTGGTCTGGTCCTGCTCGCTCCTGCACTGGCTCTGTGCTAAAAGCACATACATCACCCACCCGCCCCAGTGATGTGGCCGTTTGAAGGATGAAGACACTGTGGCGTCCAGAGAACAGGTGCTGCCCCAAGGCCATAACGATGAGAGACTTGAAATTAACCCAGATCCCTAAACCCCTGAGTGGACTCTAACAGGAGGGACTTCTGGGAGCGCAGTGGGGGCTCAGAATGAGCTCTGAGAGATGCTTATGAAGAAGGAGGGACTCAGTTTTCTGGCCCCATCGCTAGACACATGGTCTGAGGACCTCGGGGAATATTTAATTGTGACACTGTCTCAGGTGAAAAAAATATCTTTTCTCTTTTAGTTTTCTTTGTTACGTTATAAGCTCCAAGGCCAAGAAGTGCATCTTCTCACGCTGACCCTCCACAGCACCCTAGTGTTTTACCAGGAGCCCTTCTCCATGCTCATCCGTGCCATTTGGCCTGCTTGCTGGCTTGGGAACTCCTAGCCCATTTCCCTGCTGGTGCAGTGTGCTTAGCTAAAGGACCTCAAGAGCCACATAGCTGTCCCTCAGAGCTCACGGGGGAAGCATGGGCTCTCAAGTAGCGTCCTGAGTGGACTCCTGTGCAAAGACCGTGGTTCTTTGCTGTCCCAGAGCTATTGAGAAGGTAGTTTAGGAAGACACACACCCAGCCCACCTCCCCTCATACATACACACGAAGTGACCCCTGCCCACTTCTTTCTTTTCAATAGGAAACAGCAAGAAACCTCATAAGGATTCCTCAGCCCAGCCATACAGCCTTCCTTCAAAATCCTCCTGGTCATTTATGGAGCCCCTGTTATATGCCAAGCGATTTCACATAATTCATTTCTTTCAATCCTCAGAAGGCTGCAAAGTGAACATTATTATCCCATTTTACAGATGCAGAAACTGAGGATCAGGGGGATTAAATGATCTGCCATCAGGGTCAGAGGCAGGATTCTTCCCTGGCACTAAAACACTTTCCACACCTGTCTGACACCTCTCTGCAGGGCAGGACTGTGCCAGGCTGAACAGTGGCCTGGAGAGAAGAATTACTTTAAGTCACCAGCCCTGATGCTTCTCCTCCCCAGCTGCAGCATGTGTTATCTGCAATATATTTGGTAGTTCCAATTTGTTCTGCTCAGACAAGATTCCCATTTTTTGTCCAATTTCTTTCATCACATTTTCCCCCCACAGTGTGAACAAAGATTACAAATGCATGGCCAAACAGTGCGAATCAAGCTAATTAAAATTCACTCCTTACAGAGGAGCTGGAAAAGGCATTTTGAACAAAGGTCCAGAAGAATTAAATTTTCATTTCACCTTTGCTTATCCTAAGACCAATTAAAAACTATTTAATGTGCTCTCATTTGTTGATAACAGACTGGTATAACACCAGGCCTGGGTCTGTGTAATCTAGATTTTTTTTAAATTAGCATATTGGACAGAGGAAAGAAAGAATAGGAAATAAAAGTGAGAGGAAAGAATGTGTTAGATACCCTTTTATTTCAGCTCTACTCAGGGGTCACTGTAGGGCCGACACAAATTCATATTCACAATTTACCCATTCCAGGTGATCTTCGAGGTCATTGAGGCTAAAGGTTTTCATACACTTTCCAGCACTGAAACTCATCTTCAAATTAAATCTACACTGGCACCCGAAGTAAAAGAAAATTTAAAAGTACACACACATTGTTCTGGCCAGTATTGGAACGCCAGCCCACGCACAGAGGTGTCTCCGTTTAATTCTCAGTCAAGGGCAGGTACATGGGCTCCAGATTCAATCCCACGCCTCTGTTGAGGCTCGTGTGGGAGGCAATCAATTGATGTGTCATTCTTACATCTCTCTTTCTCTATGCATTAAGCAACAAAGAAAAATAATTTTCAAAAATTATAAACAGTACAGATAACTTTATAATTCCAAATAACTAAAAGTTAATAGCAGAAGCAGGAAACTGAAACATAAATCTTTACCACCTCAATATTTTTTTAAATCTCTGGAACAATTATTGGTCAAAGAGAAAAACAAAACTCCAAAATATCTTGAGAATAAAGACCACGAAAATACTGCATATCAGAATTCTTAAGAAATAGCTAAAGGAGTACTCAGA